TGGGGATATTCATATTCATATACGAATATCCCCACGCACCTGGACTCCCTGGGGCTGAGCTGTCCACTCACATGTCTGGCAGCGGCCTCGCCCATCCTTCCAATCACTCCCGGAGCGCCGCTCTCTTCCTGCTTGGCTAGCGACCTGGCAGCCATGCAGGGAGACTTGTCCTCCCTCCCATTACCATTTGTGTGTGTACGTGCACTGCACAGTCAAGAAGGCACCCACAACATTGCACTGTGTTATTGAGGTGTTTCCCCCCTACCCCAAAAGAGAGGAGATGAAATAAGGATTCCAAGGATGTGTGAAACACAGAAAGTGATGTTCTCTATTTTCTCTTGCTAAAGAAACTTCTTCCATGGTGTGGAATCAGTGGGGAAATCTCCACCACCTCCTTCCCTCCTTCATTTTCTTTACTTCGTTAGACATTGACTGAGAGGCTCCAACCACCCTTATTCAGGAATAAAGTTCTGGCTGAGAGAATTTCCCATCTACAATTCAGGGGTGGTGGTGCTGGATGAAACCAAGAGGCCCTTGCTGGTACTCTCCCGCTTAGCTGTTCCTCCCTGTTGTTACCTGGTATCCTAAGAAAACTGGATGGCCCACTTTATGGGTCTCATTACAGCACTGGAAGCTAATGTCTTGGTGGTTGTTTGTTTTATGGTGGGCACTGTAGCCCTCTCTGTAAGCTGGTCAGTGGAGAGGCTAGAATTCTCCTCTTTCCGCTCAGATACTGCCACAAAAATAGAAAATAGAACTGAAAGAAGCAAAAGTAATGTATAAGAGAACTAGATTAGATGACCTATCAATGGAGATGGCAGGAAGTGGACATGAGTTTCCTGCTTGTCCTCAAACATCAGAGGATGCCAAGGGCACATTTAATTGTGCAAAGTCCTGTCTATCAGACTGAGTGGAATAGACAACTCAAGGTAAGGAACTAAAAATGTCCTCTCTCCACTGCAAGAGAATATATTGTATTTTTCATTGGTAATAATACAAAATCTGCACACAGGTTTTTTATGTTGTTTCTAATCTACCCTTGATCCAAAAGCTGCACTGTTGAAGAAACATTTGCTAATGCTGCTGTATCTCAGCAGCCAAATTGTTTAACTTTTAAAAAAAGATAAAAAGTTAAATGCTTACAAATCCATACATCCATCATAACAAACTGGCACTGTAAGTTAAAATGCCCATCTTAACTTCTTCACAATATAGAGTAAACCTGCTTAATAATCTTACATACTGTGCTTCCTTACATCAGGGTCTCCAAGCACCTGCACCTGCCATTGATTTTGTTCAGCCTTAATCTCTTCCTTCCTGCCTGAAGAAACACTGAAGCTCAGGATATCGTGGGAGCCATGCTTGCTTAACTGCACAATGCCTCCCTGCTCTGTTCATCTGAGTTAGAGAGAATACTATGTGTTACTTGTGACAGGCAGATGGACAGGTCACAAGAGAAATGCAAGGGAATCCTGAGAAATCACCGGCCATACCCAAAACGTGCAAACCTAAGGCCATTTCCTCCCAGCAAAAACTTAACGCTGGTTACAGAACCAAAGGAATGTTGCATCCCATTCAGAGTCATGCTATCAAGTGCCACAGTTGCAAAATGGGATTGTATTTCAGGTTCTGTGTTTAGGTCTAGGATTTTGGTGTCCATGCCAGCAACTGAGTTTAAACATTAAGTTGTCTGCTGGTAAATTAAACTGTGGTTTGGCAAATGGTAAATGAAATTTAAAAAAAGCCCGAGGAACCGTTGGTCCCAACATGCAGTCAGGGGCATTGAGCTCCAAGCAGCCAAAGGAAAGTTAATATTGGCTGTTGAATTGGGATTGGGAGACCTGGCAATCAGTCAAATGAGTCACTAACATATAATGCACCACATGATCCAACTGATGCATGTGTTGGTTCCCAACAAGGCAGATTGCAAGAATAAGCAGAGAGCCTACATCTAAAACAGCAGTCTTGCTGCAAACCAAACCACCAGTATTCTAGACCACTAGATGGCAACAAGAAAGGAGAATGGCACAGGTTAGCAACAGTGGATGAGGAGGTGAGGATCGCAAAGTCATAAGAAGAAGAAAAAAGGACATAAACCATGTGGCTACTGGGGCAAGTATCTCTACCATCATGAGGAGGCAAACAAGACAGCAAGCAAAAAAAAGTTAAGTCCCACTTTGCCAGTTTTACGTTGAGTTAAACATGCATATGAACTGCAAAATTTATCTTAAGCTCTAGAACACTGAGGCTGGCAGTCAAAATTAAAAATTTAAGAGTTAGCAGGCACATGTTTGACATACCCCTGAGCCCAGCTCCAGTATTCCCTCAACCTGCAGAAGAAGAAGAAGATGATTTGGGCTGAAAAACCAAAGGGAAAGCATGGATGCAAGCACAATATGGGAGACTATGGAATCTATTCACTATTTATACAGATGTTGGAGGGGTGCTCTAACTAAAAGGTTGCTAGTGAAATTCGAAGAGAACAAAATTGAGCATGAGCATATTCCAAGGTAAACACCTTTGCCTAAAGAAAAGAAAAAAATGAATCAGAATGGGCTGGGATAATTTTACATTACAAAATTATCCCACCCCTGCATCCATCATTTGATCTGGGCATCTATCTAATTACAGTGGTGAGAATAGGGGAGGGGGAGAAACACTGAATGGCTGACACATACCGTCTTACAGTCATCATACAAAGCAATATGAAAATTCTCCCTTAAGCTTAAAGTCACTCCACCCACAGCACCCACCATTCCCATCTCTGCATCAACCAGTTTGCCCATTGTTTACAACTCTGATAAAAACCCAGCACTGTCACTTACTTAAACTGTGCTTCACTTTCATCCAAGAGATACTCAAAAGAAATTGTAACTTACAAAGCAGCAACAGATATTTCTTCTGGGGTGTGTGTGGAATCCGGCCATTTGTCACACAGGAGCTGTCCCCCCCCCCCGTGTTTGTAAACAAGGAGCAGCCACCAATCAAGAGACATGGCACTGAGGCATTCCTCACCCCAACCCTTTCCTTTCATGAATGAACTACAGCAGGTACACAACAGCTTAAAAATACATGTTTACAAGCACAATAAATTATTAATTTTAAAAGTGATTAAAAATACACAGTGTTAAAAACATCACCAGCGAAAACAAATTTGAAATGACTAATAAAAAATACGCTGCAGCTCCTCCTAAAAATTACAGTCTTAATGTATGAGAGCATTCAGAGATCAAAGACCAAGTGAAAAAAGGTTTTCACCTGCTGCTGAAAGGACTGTAAGGAGGGAGGGAGACGACTTATCCTTCTGAGGCACAGAATTTCATAGATGGGAAGCAGCCACCAAAAATGCTTTCTCATGAGCCCTCACCAAACATTCCTATCATGATGGGGGGACCATGAGAAGGCCCAGCCCTAAATATTTAAGAAACCAGGGGTGGGTTGGAGAGACTATATGGGGAGATGTGGGTCTTCAAATGACCTAGACCCAACCCATTTAGGATGTTATAAATCATAACATTGACCTATGGTTGCTTCTCATGCTGGAGTGAAGTGACAAGAGATCTCACAGGGATTCATTCTGTGCCCAGTGTTTTTCAACATCTTTAGATTTGGATGATGGTATTAAGGAGATGCTCATGGAAACTGCATATTCTGTCACACCAGGAGGGGGAGCTAATATTTTGGAAATCAGGATGTAAAACTAGAGAATGGAGCCAAAACAAGCAAAATGAATTTCAACAGGAAAAACATGAAATTCTAAATTTAGGCGGGAAAACTCAAATACAGAAATACAGGTTCAGTGACATTTGGCTCGTCCATAATGAATGTGAAAAAGATCTAAGGGGTCTTAAACCACAAGTTAAACATGCATAAATAGTGTAATTTAGTGGGGGTGTGGGAACGCAAAAGTAATACTAAGCTACACCAACTGGAATATATTGTCATGGGAAATAATAATGCTGCTCTGTGCTGCTTTGGTTAAACCTCACTTGGAATACTGTGTCAAGTTCTAGGCATCCAAGCGTAAGAAGGCTACTGACAAGCTGAATTGATTCTAGAGGGTAGAATCCTTCAAAGGAGGGTGACAGCATAGAGAATCTGGAATTCAAGCCTTAGGAGGAATGGTTTGAAGGAGCTGGGCATTTTAGCCTGAGGAAGAGAAGACTGAGAGATGACACAAGAGTCATCTTCAAATATTTGTAGGGCTGTCACAAGGAGGATAGAGCATACTTCTTTTCTTTGGTTCCAGAGCACGAGACCTGAACTAATGGTTTTAAATTATAAGGAAGGGGATTTTCAGTCAACATTAGGACTGTTGTTTGACAATGGAAAGGACTACTGTAGAAGATGATGGACTGTCCTTCATGGGGGGGGGTTAAATAAAGGATGACTAGTCATCTGTCACTGATACTCTGACTACTGATTTCCTGCTCCAGCAGGAGGGATGGACGTGAAGATTCTTGGGGCTTTTTCTACAATTCTATGATTCCATTTCTGAAGGTCAATGGCAGAAAATCTGCACACCAGGATCCTTAGAATATAACACTTTTTGTTTTGCTTTACATAGGGATCTGTTGTCGATCATCCCAGAGTGCAAGACAAGTAACAATGGGCTCAAGCTACAGGTTTAGGATGAATATCAGGAAAAATGCCATAGCTATTAGAGCAGTACAATACAGCCAATGACCTCAGGAGGTGGTGAGTTCTGCAACACTAGAGGCATTCAAGAGAAAATTGGACAACCCGGATTCCTGCGTTGGGCAGGGAGTTGGACTCAGTGGCCTTACAGGTCCCTTCCAACTCAATTATTCTATGTTCTTTTAAGTAAAATGTTTATCTCAACATCACTTACGCAATCCTCCATTCTAAAAATATAGGCGATCAATACTTGAACAAAGGCTATTCTGATAAAGGCACATGCATGATTTTAATACCTTAGTTTAAAATTCTGCAATGGATAACAGCACTCTCAACAAACATGCCACACACGAATTACGCACCTCTTCATCCTTGTACCAAGATAAACTCTCCGCTGTCAAGACAAACCAGTATTCTTTAGAACCCCCTTTCATGATGCTGATATTGTTGATGGTCAGCCAGCCTCGTCGGATTACCTGGAGTAAACAAAAAGTGGGAGGGGAGGGTGGAGGAAGAGACAATTACAGACTAACTTGAAGAACACAGTATGAGAAGGATTGCTTCCACCAAATGTTTTGATGCAATGACTTATTGAGATTCCAGCCCTAGCTGCAGCAGGAGAGACATTAATTTATCTCAGCTTAAAGCCCCAACACAGACTTGTCAAGACCTGTAACTGGAGCACTGATCATTCCCACTTGCAGTTTTACTCTTTCCCATAGCATCCAGCTTGTTCAGGGCTGGCCTGTCCATGACAATCTCATTTCAGAGCATGGAATTGAGTACTATCACTGTTAAGCAAGGAAGCGACATTTCAGCAGAAAACCAAAGAGCCCTGTAAAAACCGTCTGTGCCACGACCGAGGCTCTGCAGCGGAAGGCAAACCAAAACCATCAACCTACCGACAAGATAGCCAAGATGGAGTAATTAATTGTTTTGCTTTTCCAATGAACACTGATAGGCAAGCTCCCTTCTCCAAAGGACCGGAGCCCTCCACGGTTTCTTACAGTAAAAGCATAAATATTTTTAATTTTTTCAAACATCCCTCCACGGTTTTTCTTTACAGTAAAAGCATAAATATTTTTAATTTTTTCAAACATCCTGACAATTATCTGAACTGTCCCTGAACCCGATCAATAAAAAGACAACACAAAGTAATTAAGATCCTTACAGCCAGTCTCAGTTTGGAAAGTTAAGCTCTCTCACAACAAAAACAACCAAAGCCATAGTCAGCAAATGAAGGTACTACTCTTGCCATCAGAAGTGTGCACAGATTCAGTTTAAAAAAGAAAAGACACATATCAGAACTCCTGACTAGAATTTCACTGATTTACATAGGCCTTCTGATTACAGTGAGCTGGCCCCAGAACCTGAGCAACATTTGTTCCATGTCAACAGCCTCCAATCAAAACTCAGCTAATCACTTGCATTGACTTGATATTTGTAGTCAGTAAGACTGTTTGCTTGAATGAACTATTTCCTGCTTGATAAATTACCTGAACTTCACAGGAACCATTAACCCTCTGCTTTTATATATATCATTTTAATATTTTATGTTCTTTGAATTTTGGATGAGTTTTTAAATACTGTATTACTGTTTACGTTAGTTTAAATTCCTATTTGTTTTAATCTGTTTGTGAATTCCTTCACTGAGAGAAAGGCAATAGGAAGGAAGGAAATTACCACCACTGTTTCATCACAGAAACTCACCCTCTGTCATTCTCCTAAGGCTAGTTTAAAAAATGACAGGTGCTCTTGCTCCTCTTTTTGTCTTTAACCCATTTATTTTCCTGCAAACACACTAGGTGGACTTCAATCATCTGTTCATAATATTACAAGCAAAGGAGGTTCCCCACTGAAATATCAATACTGATGCATTTTTGCCTCTTGAAGAGATTATTCTCAAGTTATTTGGAATTTGGCCCCAGAAGGACAGGACTCTTTTACCCTGATTTAAAGTTTAAAATGTAGTGTTTCAACAAGAACCATTTAATTTGTTTTTCTCTCTTCAAACCATTGTTTTAACACAATGTTTGAAAGAATTCTGTGGTTCCTCAGACATTTACCATGAATGAGAGTTAATACTGTATTGGTAAACAAATTATCTTGAAAGACAGCTCACCTTTAAGTTTATAATAGCATGAGACTATTCTAGCCTAATCTACCAGTCTTTCATGTAATGTATAGCTGCACAGAAGTGTGTGCTCCAGGCCCAGTAGGCTAATGACTAGTCTTCTTTGTGAACAGGTGTGCTCAAAATGTGCTTTTGGGGAAGCATCTTGAAATAGCAACCTTCCTGTGCACCGAATTGGGCTAACATGGCTACCTCTTCTAAACCTACAAATTGGACCAAGGTATGCTCAGAGAATGGCAGGTGACCAGATGTTTGAAACAAATGCCACTGCACCAGATACTAGCTATAGCGAAAAAGCAACATCATGTTGTGTCTTCGTAGCATCCCAGAATCTGATTAGCAAATAGAATCCTACTCAGTAGGATTGCATGTGTTCTACCAATGGCATGATAGCCTGTCATTCAGTTCACTGTAAGCTTCCAGAATTATATTCAACAAATCAACTCCATGAGTTAAGCAAGACTAGATCTAGATCCAACCTCTGCTCAGTTCCAGATTTCTCTATTTCCATCTCAATTAACAGAGACCCTTCAGAATTCATTCACCTTACAAGATTCACAATGTACTAGACATTTTCCTACCAAATTGTATTCAGAACACTTGAATAGCCACAATACATCTAAGCAAAGATCAAGGGTCTACTGACAAGCATGCAGGCAAGAGAATTTTTAACATCATGAAGCTAGATTTTCATGATAACTGACCGAGCAGTTGGGAACATCCTTCAATAATCTTCACTGTACAAGTACAAGAACATGCCATTTTCCATCTCTAGACACTTGCTTCGTTTAACCCTAACACATGAGAAGCACATCTAGCCACATTTTCATCTCAAAGAATCCAAAATAATTGTTTAGGACACCTGAGCAGCGTCTTGTCTTCTTGATTGGTCCTTAGAGGGGCACAAAAAGAAATATCCTTCAGGTGAAATCTACAGAGAAGATTTGAGCCCAGACTCAGGAGTTCTAATATGCTCATTGTCAATGCTTTGTTGTCCACTCTCAGTGTTCTCATTAATTTATTCCAATGTTTGTATCCCATGTTTCCTTCCAAAAGCAAGTCAAACTTTTAATAGCAACACATAAAACTCATTCTACTCAAGTTAGTATTACCACACCAATTAGTAATGAGCTGACTAGAAAAGAAGCAGTCTATATGTTTGAAGCATTTGAGTAGTCATGTCATTGCATACAATGGAGGAGGGGAGCAAAAGCAAACCTAAGAGCTATAAATGAACAGAGCAACAGATGTTACAGGCAGCACTTCTGAATAGCTATGAAAAGGAACCAAGAATCTGAAATGGTCTATTTTGACATCAAATTTTCTAAGCATAATTTTAGAAGTCTAGGGGAAACAAATGCACGTCAATTAGCCATACCCTCATATTTACAGAGCTGCTCAGACTGCTGCCAATATAAACATCAAAGCGACAGACACACAGAAGTGGTGCACTGGTAGGCATGGGCTGTTACAAGCTACTGTTTAAACTCATTCTGTTCACCTGACAGAGGAAAGAAATGAATTAATGACCCTGGAAAAGAAATCACATTGTAACCACCTTTTAATTTTTTTAAAAAAGACTCAGAACCAGAAATCATTGACATTTTAAATCGAATTGAGTTTTAAAAGAATGGGGATAAAAGAGTAGACCAAAAGCAGCAAAGAGATGGCGAGATGTAAGAGACTTATGTAGAAGAAGAAATACATCTAGAGAAAGATGCACTGGGCAGCAGTGAATTTGAGGAGAACGGTTAAGTGACACTTGCTTAAGGGAAACAATTTCTAGTGTGATCTGCAGAGAGAAAAAAGAAGAGGCCGAACTGATCTTTAAGGGACTGGCTATGTTTGCAAATTCAGGAAACAGAATAAGGGCACATGTAATATGTGACAAGGCAAATTCTGAAAAGAAAGGACAAGAGAAAATATTTCTTGGAAATTAATCATTTTATCGCTTAATCCCTCCACCCACACAAGCCATGCTTGTAAGAAGGTGAAGAAAGATGCATAAAAGTTTTCTTTAGACCTCCCTACTTCCTCTCTAATGTAGCAGGATGAGAGCACCTCCAAACTCTTTCCTTGTTAAAAAAAAAACAAGGCACAGCCCAGCCAGTCAGATCTCCACCATCATCTTATTCTACCATAATCTGCATTCACACAATCAGCAACAGAAAACTAGGGATTGCATTGGAATTGGAGACATGGAGAACAGAGAATCCTTTAAGAAGCTTCATGGCAATGTTTCCCAAATGCTAGACAGGTGGCAGCCTCCTTTGCCAGATTGAACTTGGAGGTATACCTCACTCTTACACATCATGAGAGTGTAAGTATGTAAGAGAAAGAATTAATTACCTTTAAAGGCGCCTATTCCCTATTTCTGGCATGAGTTACTGTTTAATGTGTGCCTCTTGATCAGAAAGGAGAAAGCCCAAAGCAGTGACTCATGGAAACACACAGCAATCAACCTCCTCCGTGCTCGTTGCTTTGGACTCAAACGAGCTTCTAATTTCTTAAAGCGCTCTAGCGTGATAGGATATCATATTTGAGAGCTACAATTTTGAGATTTGCCCAGAGTTATGGTGAAAATGGATGTAGCAGAATATTCAGGCATTTCAGGGAATTCAGAATATAGCAATGAGAACATCTGCCAGGCTGCCTGAGACTGAAGGGCAAAGCTGCTCAAGGCGATTCAGTGTTATGGCATAGATATTATGGTAGCTCAGCATTCTGGTCCACTGGGTCTCATTACAAAATTGGGGGGCAAGAAGTTTTTTAGTGGCAATCGCACTTCTCATACCTCAGATCTGAATAGAATGAATGCATATGCATCCAAAATGGACCAGAAAGTAAGCATGCCTTGTATATAAATAAACACCATATTAAGTAATTTGGTAACAATAAGCAGATGAGAGAATTGTTTCCAGGACAGAAGCAGACAGAGGAGTTTCCTTGCATCTGTGTTATTTATTAAGGCATTCCTTTCAAAAGTTGCTGTCAGTTCCATTTTCTTGTGGAACCAAGAAGCATACCCATTTGATTTCTATTTCTAGGACCATCCATAGCCCCTCCCCAGGGACTTCTGAGTTCAAAGCATTTGCTTACTCAAGTAGGAGTCAGAGGAGGCAAACGTATCTATCCAAATTTCTAGGGAAGTAGTGCGCTTAAAGGAAAAGCACAGCAGCATTTGTCTCACCAGACAAGGGAAAGGAGTACAGAGTAATGATGGAGAATGCAAACCTCTTTGCCCCATAAATGACAGAGGAGTCAGCACAAGCTGGAATGTATACCGACATCTGAATGGAAGATACATGAGAAAAGGTCAACAGTCCCCAAGCAATGTATTCAGCTGGCCACTTGTGCATAGGCAAGCAACTTAAGGTTTAAAGAGATTACAAGTGCCCTTCTCAACTGCAAGTGAACTGCAGATCACTGCCACTATTCCAAGAGGAGAAAGGGTAGAACCCTTCTGAGATGTACTTTGAACTGGCCCATCCATTACTGTCTTCTTCCACTTGGAGCCGGACTCTCCCTTATGTCCTCCTCTCCGGATTCCAAAATTTACATTCCAAAAGCAAATCAGTCACTTCAATATGATGCACTATATATGAAGGATTCAGAAGTATTCTGAAGAAGTAAAAGAGGAGTGATGGCTCAAATGTCAGAGGACAGAGCCTGCCTGGCAGAAGCCTGCAACATCAGAGTTACTAGCCAGGGTCCATTGACACTCACAGTTTCAGACTCATTTCTCGGTCTTAGCTGAAGTTACAGAATTCAGGAATTCTTCAGCAGCTGAAGTTTGGAATCTTAACTATTGGGTATTCATACAAGTATGGTAATCTACCATACTAAAGAACACAAAGAAAGGACCATCAAAACTTCAAGTCAGGCATGAAGAGAGTCTTTTCTCTCAGGACACTGAATCATCCCAAATCTGATGTACCAAAACATCCTTGGGATGCCAGCAGGGATGGGACTAGTATTAATCCTCAACATGCTGAATGTACATTTCCAGAAACCACCAATAAGACATCATTCCTTCCTACCTAAAGCCACATTCACGGCCAGTTTCATAAGCCCAAAACTTTGGCATTAGCAACTGGCTTTAAATTCCCATGTCTGGATCTCCTCAAGGCCACTGGCAGTTGCCTGCTTTTCTATACAGTTAAGTGCACTTTCATATAGAGAGAGGGCTTAGTCTGAGGACTTCTCTTCTTCAGAAAGAGTTTCCATCACCATGTTTTATGAATCAGTCACTAGCACAGTATTCAGGTACTTACCAGTATCTCACCCTTAGAGGTTGGCAAAATTAGTGGTGCAGGTAAAATAAAAAAAGCAGGATGAGGGGACAAAACAATGAAGAAAACCAAATAATGGAACAGAAGGGGGAAAGGAAGAGAAAGAAGCACAAAAACGGTAGGAAAAAAAGAAAAAGCAGAAAAAAGTAAAAGAAAAAAATTACATGCTATTAATTATAATTGTACAGTGTTAATGTTTCATTACAGTCTTTCCAAACATGATTCAACATATTTAGGTACATTGCATATAGACTAGTTTCACACAGCATATCACACTCCCAAACTCGTGCACAAGCCCTGCCTATCAGAAATAGGAAGAAATTCAAGAGAAATTCAAAATCAACAGACAACTTTCCTTTAAGGTTTTATTACTGCACGATGCTGTCTTGAAGATTTCTACTCATGTTACAATTAGCATAGTGTTGTAATCATTTCTAGAAGAAAATTTGAGACTTCTTTGCAGAATTCATTTTGATAAAAACAGATAAGGAACAGGTAACTTAATGGCAGCACTGTACCTCCTGCAGCTTCCTATTTTCTGCCTTCAAAAATGACACAGGGCAAGAAGATCAACTCTGTTAAATTAGCACCATGCTCAGAAGCCAATTTAGGTTCTGCCATTACACAAAGCATGTTCTGAAGAGTATACCGAGTATCCTGATGCTAAGTATTACTACTCGGCTGGATGAAGGTGACATGCATCAGTACCTGATTTGGTATTGCTCTTTTCTTGTTTGCTTGGGTGCTTCTTTGCTGTGCACTGAAAGAAAAGGGACAAAGAGATGGCTTTAAATAACATGTCTATCATTGTCACCCTCATTCTCAAGACTAATCAGTGTGTTAGCTAAACTCAGAGCCAGCAATGCATTTATTCATGTTCAAGTCCAGCAAAGTTAAGAGAAGTGCAAATGAAAAAGTCACAAAAGCTTAAGGAAAATGTCCACTAGCAATTGACCTAAACAGCTACAAGCCACACAACTTGTTCTTTTAATACTGAAAATCTATTCACATCCAGAACATTTCAGAAACATCCCCATGTCATGTCAACAGGCTAGGAAAACTAGGCTGTGAAACTGTGACTGCCCACAAAAAAAAAAAAAAGGCAGAATGGGTTGGCTTCAGGAAGGGAGATGCTGCTTAGTTTTGCCCCTCGCTGAATCTTTTTTCCAACAAACCTCTTATAGAAGATGGGGAGAACCACCCAAGTGTTTGGACAACTGGGAGGCAACAATAAGGGAAGTCAGCTAATTGATCAGGAAATGCAGCACTTCAAGGAGCTTTATGCTGCAAGCTCAGATTGGTTTTCACTTACATGCCTCATCTCAGAGCAACAGTAATTGATTTTGAAAATATGCTAGAAACAGAACATAAACTAATTCATGAAGTTCGGCTTGAACTAACTAAAAATAAAGAACTTAGAACACAGCTATGCTCCACAGGCTATCTGGTTACAAGGGGTACACCAGCACAGGAGTCATTTCAAATAAATGTTGAAAAGAATTTTATTGGCACATTTGTTTGTTTTATTTTTTTTAAAGCAGGCTCTGATATGTTTTCCTATTGTACTGACAGAACAGCAGCAAATGAAGAGATTCCCCCAAGATTTCCAAAAATGTTTATGCAGCCCACAGATTTCAACAAAGAATACAGAAGAAAGAGTTTCAAACATCATGCTAAGGTACTCATCCACACCATTATAGAAGAGCTTGAGTGCCATGCATTCACCAGGTGGCACGATAAAATAACTTTAGATCCAGAAATTCAAGCCAATTTCCTGATTTAAAGGAGGCGAATGGCTCTCAGAGAAGCAGAGTTGACAGGGGTCTCAAGGTTACAAAATTTACCCTCCACAGACATAATTTCATGATGTATTCAAGAAATGGGAATGTCACATTTCTCAGCCCTTATTAGTCAGGATTTGATTCCCTAAATAATATGTCAAATTACTTCATTGTTTACGAACATTCTAACTCGATATGTTGCATGGTTTCAAATGAGAAAGGTAGTTCAGAATATTAAACTTGCTTTGTACCTTGCCAACATTTGCAGTTAGGAACAGAACAACTTGGATAATCTTAAATGCAACTTATTGGGTCAGTGACCACAAAATAAATACTATTACTACTACTTAAATGCAACTAACCTCATTATCAGTAGGTATCCTATTAGCTACATAAACAGTGGTGCCCCGCATAGCGACGATCATCTGTGCAGCAAAAAGCGTCGCTATGCGGATTCGTCGCTATGCAAAATAAAAAAGCCCATAGGAATGAATGAAAACCCGTTTAATGTGTTCCTATGGGCAAAAAACTCACTGTTAAGCGAAAATCCTACGGCCGCCATTTTCGCTGTCCGGTAAGCAAGGAATTGGTGTGAAAACACAGCGGGTGTCCATTTTTTTACCCGACAGCCATTTTGGAACCACCGATCAGCTGTTAGAAAAACAGCGCTATGCAAAAATCGGTAAGCAAAACAGCTTACCGATCATCGCAAAGCGATTTTTCCTATCTAAATCATCGCAATGCGATCGCTTTTGCAATCGCAAAAACTTAATCGCAATGCGGATTCGTTAAGCGAGGCACCACTGGTACACTAAATAATCACTTTCAGTATAATCCTCCAGTTAGTTCAAGAATTTCAATCATGTCCTTCTACGATACAGTACTGCAGTTTCTCTATAGGTCATAGAACAGTCCATCCACCTAGCATAAGGGAGTTCAGTATACAAATATCTTTGTGAACCTGAGTTCTTTTGGTTATAAGAAAAAGGGTTAGAGTAAAGAAAAAGAAAAAGAAACATATTTAAAAATACAGAGAGAGAGGCAGGTAACCAATGGTTCTAACTCCCTTGGAGTCTTCTGCACCATGAGGGGCCTTGTGGCGCAGTGGTTAAACTGCTGTACTGCAGACGAAACTGTGTTCACAACCCAGGGTTCAATCCCAGGTAGCTGGCTCAAGGCTGACTCAGCCTTCTATCCTTCTGAGGTCAGTAAAATGAGTACCCAGCTTGCTGGGGCCGGGGGGGGGGAGCAATGTGTAGCTTGCATAATTAACTTGCAAACCATCCAGAGTGCTGTAAGTACTATCAGGCTGTATATAAGCAGCATGCTTTGTTTTCTTTCTTTCTTTTTTTGAGCATACCATCTGAATCCTTGACAAAAGACATTCAAGAACTAAGGTGGGCTACATTTTTTTAAAGAAAGCTGTGGTTTTCGGCATCACAAGTTTCCCCCCACATCTCACATTAGTTGAAAATTATGTGCATGCCAAGTAAAGCAATCTCTCCTACCCTACAGCTGCCTAAAACTCCCCCCCCCTTTCTGGGGCCCTCCTTTCTCTCCTCTTGAGTGGAGGTTGGTGTTTTGTGTTGCAAAGCTATCCACTGAAGAAACCAGAAATGGTGGCTTAATTTACCAGCCAGCTATTAGCCGTGACCTGACCCTGCACGAAGGCTTTGGAGAAATGAAAGTAACGTGTCATTTATACTGGAGTTCAAATAAGGTAAAGCATGAGCAGAAGCCCACTCCACTATTGAAACAAACCTCCTGCTACTTCTTAATTTACTAATATGCAGAAATAATGAAACTGCCAATGAAAGGCTCTTGTTTGATAGACACCTGCGGCATCTGCACCTGGAAAACAGATGTCTGGAATGCTATTTCCAATTACCTAATTTTCACTCTAGCTTTCTTAAGACCCCTTCAACAAATGCTTCAATCAAAGGTTAGGCAAGCTCTTGCCATACGCAAACCAAACTCTGGCAGATACGCACCCAACCACTACATGCTGCTCAGTGTAACAGCTGGGAGGATTGGGAGAAGTTTCAGAGGTGTCCAGACAGAAGAACAAGATGATTCAAAGGAAAAATCAAAAAGGATTAAGAAAAAGGAGAACTCATGAATTCAGCAAGAAAAGAAGAAATGTCAATAAAGGTGTCATATAACAGCCACGCAGACAGACAAATAAATCCAATACCTGCCAAAGGAGAAATCCAGCACTAAAGCATCCTTAACAGAGGACTATCCATCTCTGTTTCAAAACCTCCAATGAAGAGGAGTCCACTACCTTCTGAAATAGTACATTCCATTGTCAAACAGCATTATCTTAGCAGCATATACTTCCTAAAGCTTGGCTGAAATATATATTGACTTCAGCAAAGCCTTTGACAAAGTGCCCCATGATATTCTGACTAACACGCTAACTAGATGTGGACTGGACAGAACAACTGTCAGGTGGATACACAGTTGGTTACAGAATCATACTCAGATAGTGATTATCAATGGCTCCTTCTCAAACTGGGAGAAGGTAACAAGTGGGGTACCACAAGGCTCAGTCCTAGGCCTGGTACTCTTCAACGCTTTCATTAATGATTGGGACGAGAGAATGCAGGGAATACTCATTGAATCTGAGGATGACACAAACTTGGGCGGAAGCAGCTAATATTTTGGAAGATAGGAACAAGAATATCTTGACAGGAGCACTGGGCTGAAAACAACAGAATAACATTTAGCAGGAATAAGTGCAAAGTTCTAGACGGGGGGGGGGAGGAACCAAAACACACAGTTACAATATGACTCAGTTATACTATTACTGAGAAGGATCTTGGAATTGTTGTAGATTAAAAGCTGAATATGAACCAACAGTGCAATGCGGCTGCAAAAAAGGTCAATGTGATTTTAGGATACATTAAGAGAAGTATAGTCCCCCAAACCTGTGAGTGACTAACCCCACTCTATAAAGCACTGGTTAGGCTTCATCTAGAGTACTGTGTCAAGTTCTGGACACCACACTTTAAAAAGAATGCAAACAAACTGGAACAAGTTCAGAGGAAGGCAACAAGGATGATTGGGAGACTGGAAACTGAGCCCTATGAGGAAAGACTGAAAGAACTGGGCAAACAAGAAGACTGATGGGAGATATGATAGCCCTTTTCGAACAGAGGAGGGGCAAGATCTGTTCTCAATCATCACAGAGTGCAGGACACATAATAATGGGCCCAGGCTACAAGAAGCCATGTCTGAAAACCAGAAAAACATATTAACAGTTGAAGTGCTACGACAGTAGAACCAATTACCTTGGGAGATGGTGAGCACTCCAACATTGGAGGCATTCAAGAGAAAATGGGACAACCATCTGTCAGATCTGCTTTGATCTGTATTCCTACATTGAGCAGGGAATTGGACTTGATAACCTTATAGGCCCCTTCCAACACAATTACTCTATGATTCTATGAAATGTCCTTTCTTTTAATTGTATTTTAATTCCTCCCTTCTGAAACAGCAGAAAACAAATCTGTTTTGTTATCTGCATGACTCAAATATTGAAAGGAGCTATAATATCAACTCTCTTCCCTTCTTGAGGCTAAACATGCCCAGTCTCGTGAACTGTTCTTATGGGTCTTGACTTCCAGACCCTTACCCTCTTGGTCACCTTCCTCTAGACACACTTCAGTATCTTGATATCCTTCTTAAACGGTGATGTCCAGAACTAGACATGACAGATCAGGTGAGAGAAGAGCAGACTAAGAGATATGATAGCTATTAAAAAAAAAAAAACCTGAATGCTGTTGAATGGAAGATGGAGGAATCTTTTCTTGCTGTTCCAGGGGTACAACCTGAACCAATGGATTCGAAGTACTACAAGCACACTTTTGACTAAACATTAAGAACCTTCTGATGGCAAGAGATGTTTCATAATGGAAAAGATTACATCAGAAAGTGTTGGACTCTTTCTCACTGGAGGTTTGGAAACAGAGATGGATGGCTTTCTGTCATGGCTTCTTTAGCTTTCAATTTCTCCTTTGACAAGGGTTCGACTTGGTAACTCTTGGGATCACTTCCAGCCTAGAATTCAATGGTTCTTTTAAAGTAGAGATTACTCAATATGTCTTTAACAAGGCATAGGTGACTTGTGTTGTGTACTCAATGCCATAAGGTTGTTCGGGGGAAAAATAGAAGTAAATCACTTGGGGCAACAGTTATGCTGTTTGAAGAGGAGGAAGAGGGAAAGATGAAGAGAGTAATTTGTGCAGATACTTAAGTGCACAGGAAAGAATGTTCTAGTGTCAGGTTAGCAACTCCTATAGAAGTGCAGATAAAGATATCCTCCACACAAGAAGAGCATTAAAACTTAAAAAAAGAAAAAGAAAAAAAGGGAAGCCAGTCTCACTAAAGGAAGTCACAGCTCAGAATGATAAAGCATAAGGATTCACCTTACAGAAAAACTAGAGACTTGAGAATTATAATGAAGACAGTGGGGATATGGCAGGCATGAAGTGAACCAGAGGTTCCCAAACTGTACGCTGTGGCTCCATGAATGCCAGGCAGGGGTGCTGTGAGAAAAGGGGTGAAACAGAGCTATGAAGGCTATAGAGGAGCTGTTCACAGATCTATGACAAGTTCCTCTACAGCTTTCATAGCTCTATGTCTAATAGGAAATGGAAGCCATGTGCCTGTCTCGCCTTTCCCCTCTCTATGGTCCCCAGTGGAAGTGCTTGCCAGGCTGCCTTGGGGGTTTCCTATATTAGGACCTGGAAAGAGGGGGGCCCTCAGGAATACGGGGGTGGGAGAAGATGGGATGGCAGGGGGGCAAGATCCTGCTTCAAGTGGAAGAGAAAGCCCTAATGGCCCCTCTGAGCAAGGGGAGCCGTGGGAAGAAAAAGAAGGGAGCCATGAGGCAGAAATGTCTGGGAACCACTAAAGTAAACAGAAAGGCACCTAAGACCTCTAGAGAGAGCTGGGACTCAATGATGATATATTTATACAGTTTATGCACATTAAAATTTGGAAACAGTAAACAAAATTCTGGATTCCAGAAAATGGTTGGCAGTAATTCTACACTCAACAGGGCAGCTAAATAAATATTACCAACACCATGCACAATACCTACATATGCAGGCTTGGATTAAAGGAGCTGGTTTGTATCCACTATTTAGATTTGTTGTACACTGGGAACATCATGAGGCAAAGACAAAGTGTTTGAAATAGACATCGTTCAGTTAACAATAAGGGAACTAAGTTGCTGCTACCCACAATAACTCTAAATTCCTGTAAAGCAGCACTAAAAACTCTGGCAGGATCAGACTATGATGGGTTTTTGATGTGTGTTAACTTATTCCTCAAATGAATGCAGTAAGTTAAATAAACAGATTAAATAAAACCCAAAAAGTTAAGTCTGGAAGGTCAAAGCCCTTCAGGAAGCTGGAATTTATATCCAAAGACAAAAGCATAGTATGTATTTAGAAAGCAGACAAAAGGAGGCCAACATGACTGAACAGGTAAGAAGACTATACAAATAACAATTTCTTCCCATATAAAAGAGAAGTGTTTTTCTAGTCAAAACTCAGATAGCCCAAACGTTCATTTGTAACAGGCAAGCCATAAAGAATTTGAAACACAAACTGAATATACTGTAAGAATACAGAAATATTTAAACACTAGAAAGAAAACTAACTGTTTGAAAAAACTGTTAGAGTCAGAGCAAATACAGATAGTTAATTTTTGTTTTATTTCCCTACAGTAATGTAGGGCAGATATCTATTTCTGAGTGACCTTTCCCAACCTTGGTACTGATGCAGAAGTGACAAATATTTTTTTTTACCTGATCACCAGCACCTAAAAGCATCACTCAAGAATCTTTCAATATACTTGGGTTAGCTATTGCAAGGAAAACCCCATGTTGTGCTTCTAAGAAAGGAGCGTTTTTCATCAGCTCTGTATTTAGAAGGATGTTTCTTTCTGAATACATTTAGATTTAACGACCAGTCTTCCTGAATGTGCAGCTCTAAAGCTGGACTAATTTAATGCTGCTTTTGTTTCAATAACATAATGGTGGTGGCAGTACTAGAGAATCAGTCCTCCACAATCTTGGTCCAACTCCATTTTCCTGTAATGGCATTTCAAGGTGCTCACCTGACTCCAAACCTTACTCCAAATGCTAGTCCCGCTACAGCAGACCCCTGAATCAATTGATGTATGGTGAGCCAATGGTTATGTGAATCTCACTGTTTCAACAAGTTTACTTGAATTGGGACTACCAACGGGATTAACTGATATATTTGAGGTCCAACATCTCCACAAGAAACTCACTTTCCATATGTATTACGTTGACACTACCTTTCAGTAGCTGAATTTCTCTTAATACTGTTATGTCACAACATAGGATTATCACAGACATGGAAAGGCATTTGCAAAGAGTACACTGTACCTCATTTTCCCAGAGATATGCTAATCTATTTTTCTGAAAGAGATATATAAAGCCTTTCCATTTGAACTGGGGGCAACTGACATAAATCTCTGATAAAGGATAGTCTACAGGTCTAAATAAAGTTGATATGAGTAGTTAATTTTAACTCATGAATTTATGCATTTTAATTTTCTTCTTTTCCATTTTATTTGTAATTGCCTCAAGCCTGTAGAATGGGGTAAGACAAAAATGGAAGCTAAATATGCACTCTATTCAATTCCTCTTGCTTTTGGCCATGGCTGGATGACACAATAGTTCACTGAATGAGAATTCTAATTAATAATAATTCTAGCTTATCACTTTTGAATGTTGTTTGTTCAGTTGTTCTGGCTGCTTGCCACCCTTAAGTCAAGGCTGTTGCCTTGCCTTTTTGTATAATCTAAACTGTGATCTGCTACCTACTTGACAATAAAAATGCCTTTTCTAAGATGGGTCTCAACTACATGAATAATTTCAGCTAATAATTAAATTTCTTTAAGCCTTGTAACTTAAATTTATACTAACACACAGTAATGCTGTTAAACAGTTTGAAACTAGTTCAAAAACTCTCAGCTTTTGAGTAGACCTTTGATCTAGATGGGCGGGGTAGAAATCTAATAAAATAAATCAGCTTTTGCTTGATCTTGCCAAGATGTAGTCGCACAATGCTCTCAGCTATCTTGCAAAGAACAGTTATCAACAGTTACATTATCCTTATCACATAATGCTTCCCAGCCTCTCTCTGATCTCCCTTTGCAGCAGATACTCACTTGGCAAATCCAATGAAGTCTTCATGGTTAGTATTTATGTAGGACAGCTCTATGTCAATCAACAAGAGAATCTGAAGAGAGAAAAGATAAAATTATCAACTCAGCTGGATGGCAGCTACTTATTATTAATCTATCTGTCCCCAAAATGAGAGGCCTCCCTTCAGGAGGACAAAGAAATTCTGATGGGGAGAGATACTGAGAGATTTTTTTAATGAAGAAAAAAGTATACTTATCAGCTTAAACAAATGTTTATGATAGTACTAGACTTTAAGATTTCTGCACCACATAGAACAGATTAGCTGGACTCTGTGTAGCCCCGGCACTACTCTTTTGCTTGTTCTGTGCTCTTCGTCAACTGATCCCTGTTCTCTTACTAATATTTAAACTACATTCTCCTAATCTGCAGGAGGTGCGAAGATAGGAGGGGGGTATCTATTATTTCTTAAGACATTTTTTACTTTTATTATTATTGTTATGCCCATAGGCTAGCCATGTTAGATATGCAAGACTACAGTACAATAACGAAGCCTACAGTATTTACAATTGACACAAAACAGACTTTCTTGGGATTTTGCCTGATACAAAATAGTCTGAAACTCAGATTACAATTAAATGTGAGTTTCTAATCTAGTTACTACAGCAATTTAGTCATCTATTTTGTTATTGCACAAACCACTGTACAAAATTTTGGAACCTTAGCTATACAGTAATTTCACCTAAAGAATCAGGGAGGAGAAAAGAACTATAAAAGGTATTGGGTGTATCTAGATGTTTTAAAATTAGGGATGTAAGTAGATTGTGTGAATCTTTATAAAATGTGCAGTCTTGGCAAGGGCAAAGATGATGGTTGTAAATGATCTGTGAATATCATCCCTCAAAAAAGCTAAAGGCGGGGCGCTGAAATGGGCCTACGTAAACACTTTCCAGTGTCTTGCAAGTTTTAAATTATAGAAGTAATCTGTTGGGACAAAGATCTTACTTTGAATCCCAACCACTGATTAATATGGGACCCATGCTTGGTTGAGTTGGAGCGCTGTATCCCAGATAACAATGGGTTATTTTATCTGTATATGAATATCGCAGACTCAGATGGCTGGGAAGCCCAGTCCCGCCTCCCCAAACCAACCTGTCCACTCACAGGTCATTATGTGGCGAGCATCCTGCTTGTTACACCAATCTCAGACACAGCCTGACTACTGTGTCTTCACTGTCCTGCGCTGCGGGCCACTCAGCAGACACATCATCCCGCCCCTGGATGGAGTGGCTAGCGGCACAGGGAGACAGAGATGCGCTAGCTGGGCTACGTCCAAGATTGGCATGACAAGCAGGACACCCACTGCACGGCTTCTGAACCACTCACTTTTGTTCCTCTCTATCCTTCCCCTGAAGCACGTGGGTGACTTTTCTTCTTGAGCTGTTTTGCTATAAGAGACACACACACACCATCTCTGCAGAATGATGAAAAAGTTTTGCATTGTTCTCCACAGATGGAGTATGTGTGTGTCTCTTGTAGGACACCAGCTCAAGAAGAAAAGAAGTCATTTGCAAGCTATCCAACACAGAAGCAAGTGCAAGACTGTCAACATAAAAAAACCCTTCTGTTGCTTTGAGGAAGTGGTTGCTGTGTAAATGTTAAACATAATAAAAACCAGTACACTGCCCTAGAGTAGGCTTTTTTTAAAAAAATCATCCATCAGTCAAATTTGTCCTTAACAAAAATATTTTGCTATTTTGCAAAAAGATTCCAATTATTTTAGATAGCTTGTAATCCTTAGTTATACTACAGAATTTTAGCAGTAGTTCTTGATGACGAACAGTGTAATAGGTGGCCAAGAGGTCAACAAAGGCTACCTCTGTGATCTTCCTAGCTTCAAAACCATCCTCAATGTGTTGCTTGCTTGCTTGATTTATTTACTGCTCACTTAGTACAAAGCATTTATCTAAGCAGTTTATATAGTAAGACAGTACAACCAAACCCTCCACCGCATACACCAACATCAAACACCTCTAAGTAGATAATAGATTTTTAAAAGCCCAAATGATAACAAAACAGGAAACACAAAATATTAACTTAGGCGAGGATGTCTTTGAATGTCCCTTGAAACAAGACAGTGTTTAACCTCGTCTTAAAAGATGGGAGGGAGGAGGCCTAACCTACTTCTATTGGGAGCCCAATAAGGAAAGGGCCACGGTCCAGGTATGACAATTTCTGGTGACAATCTTTTTTGCCTCCCTCAGTGTGGCAATCTGGAGAAGCAAGGCCTGTGAAGAATAGGTGCCTTGGGCTGATGTTCTGAGGAAGAGATGCTCTAACAAATAAAGAGGCTTCGAACCATGAACAGCTTTATATAAGTACCTTGTACCAACAGGAAGCCAGTAAAGGCATTAAATGTCAGATTTGTGCTGTATAGTTGATCCCAGGTTTAAAGCCAACCTGCTATAAGATGAGGGGTGGTTCCACTACTTCCAGATGGTTAAGAATTATTCTTTCCAGGACTTTATAGAAATTACGAACTAATGAAATCAATCTGAAGTTTTGTAAAAGATAATTATTAAAAAAATTGAAGAGCCACTTATTTGTTCCTGTGCCAAAATATTTTATTTGTTTTATGTGGATTGCTACCTTGCCATTTCTGCAGCTACAAATACTGAATGGTCTTGTAAAGACACTGGCCTCCAGCTGCTTTTTTTCTTTCCAGTTCTAATTCCCTATGGTGATGTTCAGATCTGCCATTAATAAGGAGATAATGAGCTATTTGATTTGCAGGGGCTGGACAAATGTTCACTATAATTCCATCCACTCTTGCACTTAATTTCTGCTAGTTGAATCTGGGGTAAAGATTGACATAACACACTATAGATCAGTAGAAATACCGCTTCCAGATTACAGCAATATTGGTATCTTCTGCTATTGAAATATAGGGAACATTTGTTGTTGTAAGACTTGATAGAATGTTTCCATCTGTTGTAATACCACTTCCCCTCTGTTATCAAGTGCATGTTCCTAGAGATTGCTGTGGCAACTGAAGTCTCCAATTATAAAATTCATTTTGATTATGAAAAGGATAAGTGGGGGCCAGACCCTTGTTATCTCCACCTGTGGGGGATATTTGTATTCGTATATGAGTATCTCAATCTCTAGTTAAGACCCTATTCAAAGTACACCCTGAATCTGCTCCCAACTACACACTTTATAAAACTTGCGTTCTCTTTTTCCTTGGCCTCTGCTTATGTTGGATGCATAACTCATCAAACATAAGCATATTGTGATAAACGAGACGAGAGCATAGAGGCTCTCGTCGGAGTGCCGTCCTCTAGTAGAACCTCCAGAGAGGTACAGACTACAGTACTCCACCACCAACACCCCCTAAAAGAATGCACCAGGGGACTGATACCCAGGAGCTGGAGATGAGCCTACGGGGTCTAACTATAGCTACCCAGACTGAAGAAGAATTGGCGGGAAGAGAAGAAAGGGGGAGGTCCATGGCGGAGGCGGGAATGGGGGTTATAAATAGGGAGGATGATAACATCCCAGGTGGTTGGGAACTCATTTGGGTGGAAGAGCCTTGGACTGGGAAAAGGGAGAGGGTCACGGTGCCCAGAGAGGAGGCGGACTATCGTAGGAGAGGACTTCCCCAGCGCCCGTCTTACTGGGGCAAGTCTGAGGCGAGACAGTGGAGGAGACATCTGAGAGAGGAGAAAGAGGCAGTGGCAAAAGAAGCAGTGGAGTGTCAGGCACAGCGAGCCGAGGATGCACGGAGGATGATGTACCTCCTGGACCGTGGGGACAACTTGCAGGTGAGAGAGACCTGGTATGGCGAGGGGACGAGGATGATGAGACCTCCCCATTATTGAGAGATGAAGAGGGGGAGACCGAAGTGCTGGATTATGGCTCTTTCCTAGCTGGACCCTGGGATGTTAAATCTATGAACCTGTTTGAATCAGAATTGTGGTTACCCCTGCACGCCCTGTTGGCGTCGCAAGAGAAGTTAAGACATGTATCGTTTAAAGAAGTTCTTCCATTTCAAAAAGAAATAAACACCCGTTTGGATTTTGAGTTAAAACAGACTCTTGGTTTATTTGAGCAAGCGGGAGGTAGGAATACCGAACCCTCACATATCCATGGAAAAATCATGCAGATGGGTGCATCCAGGCAGTCATCAAAACAAGCTTTTGAAGTTGAGGTCTCATAAAACCCAAGAATTCAATGCTATCTGAACTGCCCAAACAGAGGTGCTACAAGCTCTCCTTTATTATGCTGCTCTTACAACATTTTGGAATCACTAGAAATATTGAGAAAACACAGCAAAGATGGGGTTCATTTTGTTTTTATTTACAGCATACACGGATTATGCTGCTGCTAATCCTTATTCAGCCTGAAAGTTTACCTGGAGAGTAATCAAATAAGATGCTCACCTGGTCTTTAGTTTTCCCCTCCCGTTCTCGGATGTACGTTGTAACAATTCTTTCTGTTTCTTCTCTCAGCCTAGGGTAGGAACCAAGCTAGAGACAAGTGGAAAAAAGATCAGATTTCTGGAATCTTAATCAAAATTCACATAGAAACACAGGGAGAAAAGAAGGGAAGGGCTGGGTTGCCTCCCAGTCTCACCACCAAAAAGAACTGATGCACCAAATAAAAAGAATTTTGCCACTTCAGTAAAGATCCTAAACATTATTGGAGAGGGAAAGAGGCATAATATGACCTTCTGGGAAACAGCCCAAGAACCCCACAAATTTAGCAGAAAAAAGGAAGACACAAGAGCCTTTACTCATGGTGCCACAGCCAAAAAGAGAGCTGTCTGCCAATTTATTAAATATAGTTATATATAAAGGGCTAACACAAATCACTGTGGGAGTGTGGATTAGATATTGCTAACTTGCTCTTACAGCTAATATCCATGACTAAAATACTCATACCCTATTTCTTCTGGCATGCGGAAATTCAAAAACAGTTGTGTATCATGAGGCTCTGCTACTTTCCAATGTTTATTAAAACAGCAGCAGTTACCACCCAAGCAATTCCTATGCAACACCACAAAATGATCCTGATGTGAATTCAAGTGCAGGAGCCCACAGGAAGGGTAGGCAAGAAGCCAATTGGGGAACTGAACTCTCTGGGTATAACCCTGTACAAGCGGCTTCACCCTTCAAGGGATGAAGTCCTTTGTATGCTTTAAGGAATGAGACTTGAGCTCTGGATGGACACACTGCCCTTGCTTAAAAGCAGTTCAGACTTTCTTTCAGTTGGGCACCACAAGCAGACCAATTCCAGGTGTTAGTAAAATAAGAGGAGAAGAAGAAGAGTAAAAACTCATTACCTTCTCCGCACACTTTTTAATGACCATGGCCAGCTCTGAAACCACCAGATCAACACACTTCAAACTGGGCTCTTTGAGCTTTATAATCTGTTTTTTCACTATGGCTTCAAAAGCCATGTCAGGTGTGAAGAGCCCCGTCCTGTGCCATGCAGAAAGCGCGAACAGAAAGGAGAGATTCCGAAGAAAAATAGGGGGGGAAAGTGACAGAAAGAGTCAACAGGTTAGTCATGTGCAAATGAAAAAGCAGCAGCACTTCCTCAGGAAGGTCCTTCTTATACTGCCAACCTGCCAACAAGGAATTATTTCATCTCAGGCTCTCTTGAGTTACACTGCTCAGTAGGGCTCAAACTAGCTTCAAATAAAGGACCTATTTTTTGACGGCCTGTTTTCTACAGAATACTCGCAAGTGATAATAAAAAGCACCTACCAAAAAGGTCCTCGCGAAGCCTACCTCTGACTTGCTTCCAAAGGCAGAAAAAAGTTGCCCATGTACAGAAGGAGGGAGAGAAGTAGTACCATATTTTTCCATGTATAATACGATACTTTCCCCTAAAATATTTAGATTAAAAATTCAAGGTTTCTTATACATGGAAGTAAGGATGCAGAGGGATAAAAGCACTTTAATCCCTGCTTTCTCCCTCCACTTTTCTCCCTCCATTCCTCACAAGAATGTAGTTACTTACAAGGAAAGGGGAGAGGGAAAGCACTTTCTTGCAAGGAAACTGGAGGGGAAAGCACTTGCCTCGCAAGAAAGTGCTTTCTTGTGAGGAAAGTTCTTTCCCCCTCCACTTTCTTCTGAAGAAGACGCAATTCATCAAAGTGATTTGTCAAAGCGATTCCTGCTTTCCCCCTCCACTTTCTTCGGAAGAAAGTGGAGGGGGAAAGCACTTTCGTCAAAGCGATTCCTGCTTTCCCCCTTTCTTCGGAAGAAAGTGGAGGGGGAAAGCACTTTCTTCCCAAGAAAGTGAATTGGGAAAGCAGAGATCAAAGTGCTTTGATCCCTGCCTTCCCACTCTACTGTCCTGAGAAGAAACAAATTCTGGGTTAGAAAGGGTGGGGGCGTCTTATACGCAGAGGCATATTATACACGGAAAAATACGGTAGGTCAGGGCTCCCGGTTCCACTATGAACTTGATCTATAACATGGCAGGCCAGAGTGACATAAATATGATGAGTGGTATTGCCAGAAGCAATACATGAGACCCTTGGAAAGGGGAAAGGCAGCCAGAGGATAGAGCCAAGTTTCCAAGTCCTTTCTCCTCTAAGGCTATGCTGCTGTTTATATGCCATCTCATGGAAGTACCAGTCTAGCTCTTCTTTTAGCACAAGTCCTGGGGCTGAATATATACTATAAAGCTCAATAGAGCAACTCTATATTATACTTTGGGCTTCAGGCAAACATGGCAAAAAGTTGATCACTGTTAAACCAGGGTCTATTCAGTAGACACAAAGCAGTACATATCTTTGACTTGATGGTGAGAGGGAAGACTACCGTATTTTTCGCTCCATAAGACGCACAGACTTTCCACACCCCTGTTCTGTGGGAAAAAAGTGAGTCTTATGGTGCAAAAAATACAGTAATTATATCCTTGGTGATAGTCTCTATTTTTAAGTAGCACAACATTATTGACTTTACATTGCCACGATGGTTAACTGGTACCTTCAGTTGAATTCGGACCCAGATGATGTTGGAATTCTATGCTGGTATTTTGGTTTTGGTATTTTGGACTGTAGCAGGAAAGAGAGCTCGTGAAAATAAACTCTATTTCAGCCCTAAAAAATATCCTGCTATCAATGTGTCTCTGAGGATGCTACATTAGAATCCTTCTCCATAAAATGCTAATTTTTGATCAGCAGATAGCATTTGTATAGGGAATCAAATGTACCTCTACATACAATCTGAAGTAGCATTAGTCCGTACACTGCTTTACACTTGCCTTGCATTTACTATTGCACAATGTTGCTATTTACAGCCTATCTTTCTTGTCCAACAACATTTCCTTAGCCTGCAAAGAATGCCACTTCTCCAGAAAAGGGACACCAATATCTGGATCTGAAGTCACTCTCCTGTCATTGCTATGTCTCAAGTATTCCCCATTAACAGCTGTGGCCCACACTACCTCTTTGGAGGGTCAGCAGTAATCAGATTGAGTGGTAGCTCAGTACTCACTCAGAGGTCAGAGAAGGAGTTTTGAGTACTAGTTGTATTTCAGGAACTAGGAATTGAAGGACCTTGGAGAGCAAGTGCTGGCTTCTTCACATTAGATCTACAAAAGCCTATCCTCTGCCAGAAAGAGACCCAGAGTTCACCTACAAAAAATGCCACTGCAACAAGCAAGCAATGTAAACCGCTCTTAAAGGAAGCATCTTTGTTACTCTGCTAATAATCAACTGCCAAGGCAATACACAGACAATGTGATTGTGCAACCTCAGCTTTTATGTCCTGCTTTTGATTCCTGGACGCCAAGCAGGGGAAAGCCAGTTATTTAACAGGTGAGTTTTTAAATACGGAAATAATCCATGTAGACAGGAAAAACTGTACTGAACAGTGCAGTCCTCAATAGATGGAGAACTTTAGAATGGGACGTAGCTTATTATTTTAACCAATACCTGTGAATATCATTTTCAAAAACTCCAGCCTTGCCTTTTACTCACAGCCTCGTGGAAAACTTAAGGAAGCGGTTTAAATGGCAAATGAAGAAGCCATGCACTTAGAGAAGGGCCAGGATCTGAGAAAAATCTGCCCACTAGCCTAGGTAACCTCCAGATACCTCACAGCAGTTGCTGTTTATAAGCAAAACACAAGAGCAGGTAAGAATGAAGCTGCAGGCCCATCCTGCTTACGATGCAAAACTGCAGCCTTAACTGCATTATGCCACATTTCAGCACCTCTGTAGCAGCATATAAACCTGGACGGTTTTCCCTAAGTGAAGCCCAGCCCCCATGTTAACAGCAGCCAGTCAAGATTTTTGAAACTGCAAGTACCAATAGCTGGAGGTTGTACTAGGCAAGATGGACAGATTAGAATAGCGTCATTTGGGCAGGTTTCCCAACTCACTCAGGAAGGGCTAGACTGCCTCCAGCTAGTTCAATACCTTAGCAGTACACTGTCTAACTGTATTGATTAACTCCTGAATAACCAGGTCGACACACTTCAGACAAGGCTCTTTCAGCTTCACCACCTGTTTTTTCACAATGGCCTCAAATGCCAAGTCTGGTGTGAACAGGCCCGTCCTACAGTCATCCACATACAGGAGGAAGGGAGGGCAAAGACATGGCACAAAAAAAAGAAAGAGGGAAGAGAACAGGTTTAAAGTCCGGTAATATTCTAGAATGCAATTCTCATCAAGTATTAGCTCCTTCATTTCAAAATCTCCCTCCCCACCTGACAGTAACACATTTCAATTAAATAATAATAATGCAAAAGATGGCACGAAAGTGCAGATCATGGAAATAATTGTTGTGCATGAGACATAAAGGGAAAAAAGTTAACTTCTACCATATCAAGACATTTTGCAGATGGAGTATTACAATACACTTATACACAGAGGATCTCTCCCCATTGAAAAAAGATTCTCCCTCTACATCAGAACACGAAGGGAAGGGGATAGGCAACAAGAAAGGAAAACAGACAGCTACGGACTTTTTGGAAAACTGGATGCCCCACAGGAATAGGAACAGGGAACCACGAACAGTGAGAAAAGAAGGATGGAAAGGAGCTAGCTATGACAAAGATCACTACAGACACTACTGGTGGTACAATGAGAAGGAAAACAGGGAGAGAAAAGAGAAATTGATTGTTCTGAAGCAATGGGGTTCGCAAACCACTGCCCCCAGAAACAGAGGGACTAACAGGAAGTGGCAATCCTGTTCTCCTACAACAGGCCTGTAGAACCTCCTAGCCTACACATCCTCTCTGACATGGATATTATACAAGGATATTAAAAGCCCTGCTTCAGATTTAGCTACTCACAGGACCAGCCCACGAAATCTCAAAACCCAGTCTCTCTGTGTTACATTTTTCCTTTCAGAGTAAGCATGCTGAGAGGCACCAGTCAGAAGTACTGCATTATTTACTCTGCTTTGTTATATAATTAAGCAGTGCTATGAGTACTTGAAAATCAAAGAGCAGGCCTAGGCTCTTCTTCTGTCTTCTGCTCTTGTTCAAATTCCTTTCATTGACAGGAAGTCTATGATCATCAGGTCACATGCTATTTCTCTAAATCTTTTCACTTATCTGTTTCTTTTTTACTCAGGCAGAATGGCAGGCAATATCAGCAGCAGACTTTCCAGACTGAACTCCTATTTCCTATGGGTGCAAGATTACCTCTCACTCTATACTCATAAGCAACGCTCAAGATGATACTGTGGTGTGCCAAATCAGCTGCAATTCCAATACTTGCCTTACACCATGGATGTTTTTGATTGCATAGCTGATTTCTCGCCTTAGATCCTTCTCATCAAATTCCATCTAAAAGGGGAAAGAAGGAACCAATTAATTAAAGGAGAAATGAATGAATGAATGAATGAATGAATGAATGAATGAATGAATGAATGAATGAATGAATGAATGAATGAATGAATGAATGAATGAATGAATGGTAGCTTCTCTCATCCAAGTGCAGAGGCAAGTTTTGATTTACTTTAGTGGGAGGAGGGTCATGGAGTTTTGATGCAAACTTCAGCTTGGAGCAAAATCTTAAAAGCTATGTGACTCATCTAATGAGTCACCATCTAATGAACTAGAAATAGACCACCGTTGGCTGTTGATGGGTATCAGGAGTATAATATCATGAGTTTTCAGAAACAGATTTTAAATCTCTGCTACCCTCAGAATTACCTCCAAACCATTTGTGTGTTACAGAAACAATTATATAATTTTAAAACTTTCTGAATTATTTTGTTTTCCTCTTTCCTTTGTTGTCCCATTGCTTTTGTGCCACACCTACTAGTTCACACATGTTAAGCAGGGATCCTTTCATTTTTTTTTTCACTCTCTGTATGGCAGCCTTCCTTATTTCAGCACTTAACAAATGTGTGGATTGCAACTCCGACTATTTTCAGACAGCATGGCTAGTGCTGCTAATCTGGAGAACACCAAGCTGGGGGAAGGCTTTGCATATAGTGGCTAAAATTAATATATCATAGCAGTTATACAAAAATACAAATGTTTTCTTAATTTGGTATAAGGGCTTGGGGGAAAAAAAGCAAGGTAGTGTTGAGGTCACGAAATGAGAAGGCTGATGGGCTTTGTGATCACAAACAATTAGGATAGCAAATAGTCTCTTAGAGATAAAAATTAAAGAAGTAATCCACACACAAGGATGTCTGCCAGCAGTACTCCTGGTGGGCGACTAGTAGAAGAGGCAGAATAACACCAAATGGGTTCCCAATGAATTCTGCCCTGCCCCCAGGAGGACTGTGCTTTTATTAACCTTACAAGCTCACAGATAGTTGACAGAGTTCAGATAGGACAATGGTTACATAATGCCATTATGATTAGCCCATGGAAAGGCAATTAAGCAAGCTCTCTATCACCTATGAGAAAGAAGAATGGTGGGCAGTCATGCCCCTCAGAAGCAGCTGTGACATCATCCAGGAGGGTTTGCCTTACTACTGTAGTTTAAGCCAACAGTTTAGCAATCTTGGGAATGGCACCCCCACAAGGTAGCTTTTAGTTATAGCTATGCATGAATGTTTCTTTTGGACTTCAATTCCAATAATTTGCCAGGAATTCCTGCAGGCAGAATTCTGGGAATTGCAGCCCAAAACAGAGTTGAAAGAGAAGCTTTTATCACCTCCATGTGGTCCTCCGTCACCATTATACTGGCCTTTCAAGAAGAAGGAAGTGCTCCCACCGGTTTCTAGGAGTGGTGCAAGAGTTCATGAGAGCCTCAAGGGAGCACGGGAGGGGCTGCCACGTTGCCTATTAGGCTGTACAGAGGGAACCTCTCAAAGTGCAAGTGCAGGATACACAGCAGGCTTCCTCAATTTATTTCAATCGTCTTACAGCAGAAGCCACTTTTTAAAAGGTGGACTGATGTATTCCTCCCCTGAAATCTTGGTGGGCTGCATCTACCCTTATTTTCAAAACTGAAAGTGAGAATATCCCTTCTTATTTTCAAAAAACGTTATTTTGGGGCTAGAACAAGTAATGGAGACCCTAAGTGGGTGTCCTAGGCCACATGCAACCGTTGGACCATATAGTGCCCATGCACTATTGAAACTCACAACTACAGACTGGGTGAACAGCACATTTTAAAAACCACACTCACACCCAATGGAAAGAAAATTCCACATCAGCTTTACCTTGACCAGCTCAAAGGGAAACCTCTCGTGGAAGATGCGGTTTATTCTGGCTCCACCTGAGAGTTCTAGTGTGTCCACCTGGTCTCCAGAGCCTTCAATTCTCTTCTCAAAGTCCACAGCAAACTGCTGGACCATCCTGCATAAATATAAACCGAAGCCAGTAATAGGTTTCCACTGTGCTAAGCCCAGCTGAAACAGCAAAACATCCTGACTTGGCAACCAGAAATGCCCAATAAAAATGATTTTATCAGATCAATTTCTGTTGGTTTATACAGTGGTGCCCCGCATAGTGAGGTTAATCCGTTCCGGATTAACCTTCGCTATGTGAAAACTTCGTTAAACGGAACGGGGAAGCCCATGTTCCAAATGGGCACAAAACTCACCGTTTTATACAAAATCTTACTAGGGATGTGCCATTCAGATTGTGTTCAACGCCAACTCCCAGAACTCTTCAAGAACTCCCCAAACAGAATTCTGGGAGTTCCAGCCCACCTTGAGACACACAGGTACATTCTGTTCACCTGGAGAAGACTAGCTTGAAAGTTCCATGGCCCAGCTCTGGCCCAGTTCCTGTCAAAACAAGAAGCTGCAAGCCATTTTGGGCGTCCGGCGGCCCAGTTCCTGTCAAAACAAGAAGCTGCCCAGCTGCTGACTGGGAATCCTAGGGTTTCCTGGGAAATGTAATCTTACTCTTGTGGGTATATCTGAAGGTGTCTATAGGAGGTGAGTCTGTGAACTACAACCCCCAAAATTTTGTCTGGGAAATTCTAGTAACTAGAATCCAAAAATCAAAATAGCACACCCCTAAAATTTACCTCTTTGCCAGAAATGTTTTGAAAAGTCCCAGCAAGAGGTGACTTTTTTGCTAATGCTAATTCTTAATTCTCACCTCAGGATGTCAATGTAATTTCATTTTTGTATCATTGCAACAAAACTTGCTACAAAGGTACTCTTGACTAGTATTAAAGGTTACAATGAGTCTCGCCAAAAATGGATCCAATTAAAAAACTAGCACAACAGACTCTGATTATCTGGAAGTTGAGTCATGGCAACCACAATGAGTCTCCCCAAAAATGGATCCAATAAAAAACTAGCACAACAGACTGATTATCTGGAAGTTGAATCATGGCAACTGGATGAGTAGCGAAACATTTTGACCTCACAAGAAAGAAGTCCAGTTGCCATGACTCAAATTCCAGATAATCCCACCTGGATGACTGAGAATTTTCATAGAAACATACTCTGATGTTTATATAGCTCACACATCCAATAGTATGCCTTTCATATAGAGATCTGCTGCAAGGAAAAATCGTCTCTTAATTACTATAAATTTTAAGAGTTATCATAGCAAAAGGGATGCAATTTTAGTCTTTTCCTATTTCAGGGAAGTTCAGGTAACACAGTTCAGGTCACTGCCTCTCACCTATGACAAAGAAAACTATTGTAAAAAAAGACTTGTCTCCTCAGTAAAGCTATTGTGAAAACAAAACTATAAACAGAAGTGATATGCACTAAAAGGTTTTTAGAGCTGGCATGAATAACTGTGATCCTCTAATTACTGTTGGATTGTAAATCCTTAGACAACATTGTTAATGGTAAGAGATCATGGGATGGGAGCTAGCATACAAAAAAATCTGGAGGGTCACCATTACTCTCTGGCAACAAAAGCTTAGAACAGTGGTTCTCAACATTGACCCCCTCCCCAATGTTCTGGGACTACAACTGCTAGCACACAAAAAAATTTGGAGGGCCAACATTACTCACTAGCAATAAAAGCTTAACAGTGGTTCTCAACCTTGGCCCCCTCCCCAATGTTCTGGGACTACAACTCCCAGAAACCCTGGCCAGCGTAGCTAGTGGTGAAGGCTTCTGGGAATTTTGGTCCAAGAACATCTGGGGACCCAGGGTTGTGAACCACTGGCTCAGAGTAACAGATGTCAGCCACAGCTAGCAAGACTAGTTGCCCTGACTCTCAGATCAGAGAAGAGCACAGCTTCAGCAGAATTCCAGTTTACAATGCCTGGCAAACCAACTTACCGTAAGAAAACCAATCTGTACATTCCACACATCTTATAAAAAACTGCACAGGATGGCAGAGCCTAATTTTATTTGTTTCAAAGATTTAGCTTTTCAAACCCACTGGAATGAAGACTGGGAAAGAAGTGACTTTGTATTTAAGCCAGCATGTGTAATTTTCAACTATTAGGACCATGACCATGTCTTAATATCTGAAAATGTGTTGTATTTTTTTTTTGTAACATCAACATCAGAAATATTTCTGCCTTCCAATATTTACGTCTACATTTATATCAAGTCTTAGATTTAACCCTTTCATCTTCAACTACAACTGCAATAAATCCTGAACACTTCTAACTGCACTGACTTCCACCCATCTCTTGCAACCCTTCTCATAATCTCTACTGAAATTAAATTCAATATTTTTCAGGGACAGGAGTCTATCTGTTTTTGTGTATGGAATTCTTAAAAGCAACATACATCAATGACTCTAAGTAATAAGTGAACTAAGGATAATTTCTGGATGCCTGACACAATAAGGTTTTCCTTTACAATACAGAATGACTTTTTCTTACCTCCCAAGTAACACATTTGTGACCCTCCGCCATAAAGCAGGGTTGGGAAGCATATGACCTTCCAGAAATTCTGAATACCAATTCCCATGAGCCTTTACTATGGGCTGTTGATGGATGGTGGCTAATGGTAGCTATAGACCAAGAACACTTGCAGTACCAAAGATGCCCCTCTCTTGCCCAAAAGCATAACAAGAAAGAAGCTGCACAAATAAATGGAAGAGCACGATGCAGATTTGACCTACTGAAGCAAGGCTTTGGTTTTCCGTGTAGGGTCATCAGGGCGAAAATTCTTATATTCTTCCACTTCTTTTTCTAATGAGAGCAACTGACTCTGGAGTTTGCTGCGTAGAGATGGTAGTGTTTCCCGTATATGGTTTGTCAATTGCTAAGAGAATGGGAATACAAAAGACAACAATAATTTACACCAATATCACCTCAAGCAGGGGCTTCTGAGAGAACAAAGCAGTCTCCCTTCCAAGCAAGCAAGATTGATGCCCACAGTTCTTCCTCAGTACTTTCTGTCTCTTTTGCTCTTAAACTGGAGAGAATTATGGCACGATACATCCCTCACCTTCATCTAAAGTGATAGTCTATGGTTCTCTAAGGCACTGGATCTTAACCTTGGGTTACTCAGTGCTCTTAAACTGGAGAGAATTATGGCATGATACATCCCTCACCTTGATCTAAAGTGATAGAATAGTCTACGGTTCTCTAAGGCACTGTTAAAGGTAATTATATCACCATGCAGTGCCATCTTTGTCAAACAAGACTTTAGCTCTTAGGACTCAACTTTACCCTTCTTTCTAGTACCAAAATCATTTCCTTACTTAGTCTCATTAGGGGTGAGAAACACAGGAGAAAGCTTTGCTCTTTCCAGAACATTCTAACAAGTTTCTCCATGTTACTGAGAAACCTGCATACATTAAGGGTAATTATATCACCATGCAGTGCCATCTTTGTCAAACAAGACTTTAGCTCTTAGGACTCAACTTTACCCTTCTTTCTAGTACCAAAATCATTTCCTTACTTAGTCTCATTAGGGGTGAGAAACACAGGAGAAAGCTTTGCTCTTTCCAGAACATTCTAACAAGTTTCTCCATGTTACTGAGAAACCTGCATACAAGAAAATAATGTTATTCCATGTCAAATTCATATCAGATAAAGAGATTTGGTCAAATTTGATAGAAGCAGAAATTCAGCAGAAATCAATGGCTCCTACTTTGAAATATTTAAACAGCTCTAATTTGAAGCACAATGCAATCCATTTGCAAAAATCAAGATGAGGGAAAAATCGTATTTGAGCTGAAAGGTGAGAGACGTGTTCCACAATCATTGGAAGTACAGAGGAAGTCTCACCTTCAGTTGACAACACATAAATGAAAGGGGAGGGGGAAGGTGAAACTGGTGGATACAGCAACAGCCTACCTGGTTGAGGACCTTCTGCAAGTGGGGGGTGCCCATGCGGTCTGCCATGTGTCTGTAAGCAGGATGGGAAAGGAAGAACTTGCGCTCAGCTGCCAGTGCTGCTCTGATGTCCTTCTTACCATCGATGTCCTTCTGGCTCCGGTTCACAACTCCAATGTAACCTACAAACAGACAGCTCTAAATGTTAGTTTCATCTTTATGGCCTGCACAAGGCCCCAGTGCAAATTCTGAAAGGACACCTATGTCAACTCAGTGCATCAATGCCAGGAAGTCATGCAGTTGTGACCGCAAAGAGCTTCTCCCACAAAAAGCAAAACAAGTTATGTTCAGCTTTAGAAAGATTCTACCCTTCCTTCTCTACATGAAAATATGTGACCATGTATGGGGAAAAGGTGAGACTTTCAATAGGAAAGATCTGGGTCTTCCTCACTCAGCATAGGCTTTTCTCATTGGGGCTGGCCTTATAGCTTGATGTCCCAAACCATCTTCTTCAGCACTAAAAAAAAATCGGAATCCATATATACATATATAATAGTACTACCTGAATTAGAAAACAACAAAAATGGTACAATAGCATATTCTAGACAAAGAACAATGGATTTTTTTTTTTTTGCAGGACAGCAAATCACACTGACTGAAGAATCCCTGTCAGAAGCTTATCTAATGAGTCACTTTCTAGTTCTGTCCTAAATACTGTACACAACTGATCTACTACTAGGTGACATTTGTTGAGTTAAACCCTAAAGGTCGTGCTGGCTGGAGATGATGGTGCTGCAGTTTAATACACTTGGGAACTACCAAATTGAAGAAGGCTACTCTACTTGCAGGATTTCCATTAAATCCTGTTTGTTCTGTACAATTCTGGCTGCTTCTAAATAGGTAAAATGTGCAAATTCAGATGCCAATTGACTACTGTCAAAGGAGGAAAAATGATAATCAAAAAAACATTAAGATCTAGTATTACATTTTCCTGCAACTCATGTCCCATAAGTATCCTGCTGGAATTATGTGCCCAGAGATCCCCAGTGCAAAAGGAAGCCTCCTTCGATCACATCTGCAGGTCTCAATGGTTTAGAAATGCTTCAGCCAGAATCCTATTGGTGTGCATGGCTAGATACCAGGATTTGTCTTGGTGTGTGGTCAACAACGAGCCTAACAGCAGAATCAACACTCCTTAACAATTAGCCACAGCAAGTTACACCAATCTTATGTGAACATCAAGAGGAATACAGCCTTTATGTGACAAGGATCAGAAAGACAACAAACCACCTGACTTAAAAGACTGACAACATTCATGTGCTTCAGTGTACCTGAAAGATATCCAACTGCATGCCCATTAAATGTACCTTGCATGACAGTCAAGAGCCATATAATTAATCTAGTCATTTCCTACCTACAATCCTCTTTATGTGTTTTATCCAATACTATGATTTGGAACACTACTACTAAGGCTTTCATTCAATCCTTGGCTATAAATATGAATAACTTTCTACCTCTGCGCAAAGGTAAGAGTTTGTTCTCCAGGATATCTCTGGCATCTGTGCCTTCATCCATTAGGTCTAGCTTAGTTATCACTCCAATTGTCCGTAGGCCTGAGAAAGAAACATAACTGCTGGTTAAAGGTGGAGCAAGTATGTTGGGGAGCAGTAAAGGAGGGCCTCAGGATGTTATCAGAAATGGATGCAGAGCTAGGGATGCATCAAAAGAAATGAGCTGCAGATGTCATCAGAAATTACTTCATATCAGAAATGGATGCAGCGCTAGGGATGCATCAAAAGAAATGAGCTGCGGTCTAGAAAAGCTTATGCCAAGCAAACATTATTGGGCTCACAGGTGCCACAAGACTTTCTTCTTAGGTTTGTAATTCAAGAAGGAATCTTGCCTTGAGTATGTACTGTACACAAGTATTAGTGACAGGTGCACAATATCCAACTGTGCAACTATGTACATTTCTAGATTTCTCAGTGTGGTTGGGCATGTGTCCTACCTATTTTAAAGAACTTTTGATCCTTTATATTGCTTTACAGAATAGAATTAAAGAAATTACAAACAGTGAGGTTGTGAATTAATGCATTTTGTTCTGCACTGCATTTTATAGTATGTGATGTTTTAACCTTATGACTTCTTCAATTACATAATTTCTGCTCCGAGGACCCAACAGAAATTTTTCTTTAAAGTTCAGAAGCATAGCAAAGTCAGACTTGTAACTCCAGATTACTGGGCATGTTGAAAACAAATCAATTCTACCTTGGAGGAATCAGGGTTTCTTGTTATCAGGAGAGATGAAAGTGGCAAGTCCAACCTTATTCTCTCATGAGATTAACTGCACTTACCAGTGAAGCAGAAGGAAAAAATGAGCTACTACAAACCTTGAGGGTCAACTTCTTTAGCCATTTTGAGTGCATCTGAGTTGGCCAAATCCATGTTGGCTGGAGTCACCGCAAGAATCAAGGTGCTTTCTCTGCTAATGAACTGCAGAATCATATCTTTGATCTGGTATTCAATGTCTTGGGGTTGGTCACCCACTGGCACCTTAGTGATACCCGGAAGGTCAATCAAGGTCAGATTCAACACTGCAAAGAAAAAAATTAGAAAGCACAGGGACTTCCCTTCGTATAGGTCATGTGAGTTTTTCCTAAAACTACCAACAATTCTGGGCTTTAAGTGGCTTTCCAAAGCTTTCTATACAAGGTAAAGAATACTGTCAGATATTAAGAGGAGCAGAGAACAACACATGCCACCTGTACAGCAACGTATGGCTCACAGAACTAACAAAAGTCCTGGCGTCCACCAAGCCCTCCAAACCCCTTCTCTACTTTTAAAAGTGTTTTTTAAATTTACTCAAAATTCCTCTTGTAGTCTCTGAGTAGTGGAAGCAATTCTGCCAGGTTTTCCAGGGCTTTTAACATCTCCTTTACAGGGCACAAAGAAATGTTTTCATTCATTCTTTTTGGTTAAAGCCCTTTTTCATTTACCAAAACCCATTGTAGCACCCATTACAGTACATATTTACTATATTTACCGTATTTTTCCATATACATGACCCCCCAATGTATAACACAACCCCCTAATTTTCACATGACCCCCCCCCCATGTATAACACAACCCCCTAATTTTTACCCTTGCCGGAGGAGCAGTCAATGGTCAGCCGCAAGGGGCGGCCCAGTGCGGCTGCTCCTCTGCCTCTTGATGCTACTGCCTCCACCGCCTGATCACCTCCTCGCAACCCGATCAGCCGCAAGGGGCGGCCCAGTGCGGCTGCTCCTCTGCCTCTTGATGCTACTGCCTCCACCGCCTGATCACCTCCTCGCAACCCAACGGCGGTGGTGGCAGTCAATGGGCAGCAGCGAGAGGCTGCCGAGCACAGCTGCTCCTTTGCCTCCACTTTTGCCTCCCTCTGTATATAAAACGACCTAACGATCTTCAATTTTTTCTCTAATGATTTTAAGAAAAAGTGTAGTCTCCACTGCTGAGACAGCAAGTGGCGCTCAAGGAGATTGCAGTAGGAGGCAGAGACCGAGGCAAAGGAGCAGCCGTGCTCGGCCGCCTCTCACTGCTGCCCATTGACTGCTGTCGCCACCGGATCTCCTCGTCCAGTGTTTGTCTCCTTTGGGCAGGGGACAAGGTGGCGAAGTGAGCTGGAGGTAAGCCCCAGGAGTGGTGCTGGAGGAGGCAAATGGACAGCTGAGGCAGCAATGAGTGGTCGCAATGACCAGATAGGCGGGGTATAAATAGAAAAAACAAAAGTGAGCTCGACGTAAGCCCCAGGAGTGGTGCTGGAGGAGGCAAATGGACAGTTGAGGCAGCAAACAATGGGCAGCTGCAAAAGGCGGCTGAGCGTGGCTGCTCCTCCACCTCTGTCTCCTGCTGCTGCCTTCTGTGTATAAAACAACCCTCAATTTTTCTTCTAATTATTTTATGAAAAAGTGTTGTTTAATACACAAAAAATATGATTTAAAAAAATCATTAAATTAAATGTGCACATTAGCTTTTTGACTATGTGGCTGCTCCACCACCTGTCTCCTGCTGCTGCCTTCTGTGTATAAAACAACCCTCAATTTTTCTTCTAATTATTTTATGAAAAAGTGTTGTTTAATACACAAAAAATATGATTTAAAAAAATCATTAAATTAAATGTGCACATTAGCTTTTTGACTATGCCCTCCCCTTTATCTTCTCCCCTTGATATATCTCATCATCCCAAAGGTTAGACATACCAAATTCTCATTGCCAGTAAATGCTCCACATTTATTATGTTTCCCTTTTAATTGACATTTCCGCTCCCACGCACTTTCATAGGCCAGTATTACTGGACTATTTCTTGTATTCCTCAAATACAAGAAACAGCCCAGTAATACTGACTTTCAGAAGGCTCACTATTTACCATGTGGTGAATATACTCTCAGGTTAATGGGAATGGGAGAGATTCCTTTGTTTGTTCCAGTGGCTCTGTCTGTTTCTCCTTCAATCTCCTGTCGAACTTCATCAAAATCTGTAAACTTCTTGGATTTACAGTGCAAAAATTCTGCATATTCTGAAAGAGAGGATAAACTTTATGTTGGGGGGTGGGAGATACAAGCTCCAGAAAACATTTTGAGAGAGTAATCAAGAGCTATCTGCTAACAAGACTAACTGTACTTTACCATGCTTCCTTAACTTTAGATCTGTGATGCATGTTCATCCATTTACATTCCTGAGATGAAAACAACACTCGGGAAACTATCAAGACTAACTGTACTTTACCATGCTTCTTTAACTTTAGATGTGTGATGCATGTTCATTCCTGAGATGAAAACAACACTCGGGAAAGAAGTAATGCATCCTGAAATTATGCAGACACTTGACATGGCCAGTACCTGTTAATGGTGCTGTCCCACCAATGTGATGCTGCTCTGTTGGCATAAAAACTGGTTCTCTTCTGGAATTGTGAGTGGTCACAGCCAATCAGGATAGTAAAGACAACAAAATCATAACACTACACAGCCAGATTTAGCTATGAAACAATGTCACAGATAACTTATAACAAGAACAATACTTTCTTGTTCAACATAGAATAAACCATGGGTACTTCTGGAATCTTTCAGAACAGAAAGATTTTAAAACAAATCCAGATTTTAAAACAAATTCAGAAAGAGTTGTAAGTCAAAAAACACATATCAGAAGTTATTTCAAAAGGTTCCCCGCTAATTCATCTTAGTCCTGCTATTGTACTGTAGTTTTACAACCACACTGCAAAAAGCTGAAACCTGATTTTAAAAGCAAAACCACAATGCATAGTATTATTTGGCTTTTAACTCAGTTTTTTAAAATGCTGTAACCCACCTTGAGGCCTTCAGGAGAAAGCCGACATATAAATATTTCAAATAAATAATTGAGTCAGATACAAGCTTAAAGAAAGAAAGAAAGAAAGAAAGAAAGAAAGAAAGAAAGAAAGAAAGAAAGAAAGAAAGAAAGAAAGAAAGAAAGAAAGAAAGAAAGAAAGAGAGAGAGAGAGAGAGAGAAAGAAAGAAAGAAAGAAAGAAAGAAAGAAAGAAAGAAAGAAAGAAAGAAAGAAAGAAGGTGATTACATAGAACAGCATTTACTGAGAAGTCCAGCATGCTTCTGAGCAGCATAATCTTGCCAAACTGTGTTGTACCTTGTATAGTACAAGGTGTTCACACTGAAGTCAAAAAAGAGGATTGATTGTGGTGGTCCACAAATTTTGCCTAAGGCTTGGCACCCAACCATCATTTCTAGCAATGTGTGAAGCCTGGGTTTGTTTGATTGTCCAAAGAGTCAAAGTGACCAGATCAAATTTTACTTCCTACCAATGTTCCCTCTAAGCTGTATGTACATGCTTGCCCAGAGCTCAGTCGGGGTTGCACACAAGCAGCCAGATTGTTTACTTCCCATTTCAAATGAAGCCCCATCCATCCCTGCACACATGGAGCGAGGCTCCCGTGCAGTGGGATAAAAACTTATAGGGAATGTTGCTTGCTACCCAACAATGGAGGAACAATGTGTAAAGTATATGTGGCAACCTGTTCTTTCAACCATCAATCAATCTTTATTACAATTAATTATCAGTATTATCTCTCTCCCCTATACCACATTGGCTTTGATCCACAGAACACCCAGTTTGGCTGCATTTTCAAATGCGTGCTCTGCTTCTCTTATGTGTGGCATTCTAACAATGCGTGGTGCTGCCCTGGGAATTCCAATTTATGGAAACTCTAACAGTATTTTCAAGGCATGTGAGATGTTCAAGAAACAGTTTATGATTGCCACTCCCAGTTGAGTTTCGATGAGTGAGCAGGGATTTGAACCTAGATTTCCTGCATCGTATTCCAACAATGTATCTCTTCACTACACTGGGTTTCGCTGATCCCTTCAACTGCTCTGTATAAACTTCTCTTCAATAGATCATCCTGGAACTAACTAATGGAGTGATTCATCTCAGTTCTTTATATTTCATGCATATCAATTATTTTCTAGTCATCTCTCCTGTGTAATATGCTACTGGGCCATCAAATCAATGTTGCTTAAGCTTATGATTATCAAACCTCTCACTTAAAAAGTGTCCTGGATGCATTCTCATTTTCCTTAAAAAGTTTATTGCAATCACTGGTGAAAAAGTAAACCTCCAGTATAACAATGCCTTAGGCATCACTGTGCTGGAGCTATCACTGCTCCTCTTCATCTGCCTACATCATGCCATAATGGGTGTTCTTCAGGCTTTCATTAGAAATCTTCATAAACAATGTTTCCACTTGATGTAACATACAATAACCCATGCATTACTGCTGTGGCAGAGTATAGCAGAGGCTGTCTACCACTTAACAGAATAAAATAGCTATCTGCCACTAGCAACTAAGCAACTGCATTTGTGGCCTGAGCCAGACCGGGCTTCGGAGACAGACCTCCTGCCCCCCTGCATGCACTCCCCCCCCACAGCTGCTTTGTGCATGCATGCACATTCCAGAGCACCGGCATGAGTGCTCCCCCACCCCTTCACACATGCACTCGTGCAAAAGGGTGGGCAGCCACGCAGGTGTGCATGCAGGCACTCCTGAGCATACGTGAAGGGTTGGGGGAGCACTTATGATAGTGCTAGCATGAAGCCTGAAACCACCACCCTCAAACGCTGTTTGCAGCCAGTGTTTGAACTTGTCTCTCAAAAACATACCTGGCACAGCCACCTGCAATGCATTTTTGGCACTCTCATAATTTTTCTGCACGATCTACAAATTACGTATCAATGTCCTGAGAAAGTGGACTTGACCCAAGAAAGCTCACTGTTGGTTCAAATTTGTAAGTGGTCCATTAAGGTATCACTTGCTTTTGCACTTGTATAAAGACCCAAGTCACTCTTTAAACAGAAAGAAAGAAAGTCATACCTGTTTTAGAGAAAATGAGCTGAAGGATAAGAGGCCGCCTGGTAACAATTCCAGAGCCACGGGGCAGGAAATCTCTGCAAAATATTTTTAAAAGATCCTGTTAGTTCAACATTTGCCCACTTATGTTACAGTCACAGCATATAAATAAGACATTCTAAATTGTATTTATGTACTTTATATACTGGGACTAAGCAGACAGCATTACCACCCTTGTAATCTAATGGGCACAGAGTATGATGGACACATTAATGACAAAACTAAAACACTTTGTAAAGGCACAGAACAAAATATTATTCAGAATGTAATTCACACTGAAATGGAAAATATTATAATACTGTACATTGGAATTCAATATATTCATAGTCTCTTAATGATAGACTAGTTTTTTGTTACAAATTAGTAAATATTAAAAAGGTAGGATAAAGCAGTTGTTCCCCCAAAATTTCAAAGGCCTCCGATAATGAACTGAGTTCACAGTAATTTTGCTAATTACATGTCAATTTTTGCATGCATGGTCACACAGAATTTTGGACTTCTTTCTCCCCAGCAGGAATGCAGTTCTTGGTCATAAGGATGTATGGTTGCAACATACAAAGACACTAGTGTTCAAAGCTTAAATTACTCATATCTTGCCCTCCCATTTACTGTCTACACATTAAATTCTCATTCACCATTTTACCCAACAGTTACTTTATTTATATTAATATGCCCAATCACATCAAATGTATACTTCAAAAGCCACCATAAACATCTTAACAATAATAGTACAGTAATTTCATGCCATCAAATTGATTCCAACTTATGGTGACTCTTTCTAAGTAAAGGATATACAGAAGTGATTTACCATCCCCTTCTTCTGGGGGTGCCCTAGAACTGTGCAGCTTGCCCAAGGCCACGCAGGCTGGCTCTACTTGCAGGAGGCACCGTGGGGAATCAAAGTCTCTGGCTCTGTTCCCAGATACCTAAATCACTGAGCTATCCAGCGAGCTATGCAACGTTGATATTTGGTGCTCTCTGGAGGAAAATACTGTACCTCAAGAATCTATGAGCACCTGCCTCAACCCCCTGAAGACTATTACTGTACTGTTAAAGCACTATATCCACAGCACTTTGAAATCTTTAGGGCTGGGCTGTGTCAACCTTGTCTATCCCCGTTTCAGTCTTACTGACACACTAGAGAATCCACACTCGCAGAGTCCCCTCCTCAGATACCTGCTAATCCCCCCACCCCCAGTGTTGTTTATTTTTCTTCAGCCCTACTGGAATATACACAATCAGATCAGATCTTTTTAAAAAGCCATATGAGTAGAGAAACATAGTCTCCTTGCAACAAAGGAGGAGACATTTCCCCTAGCTACCTGGAGAAAGACAGAAAACTGGGTCCTCCTCACAAGATGGGCTAGATGCAATAAAGATGCCAACACATCTCACTATCTGAATCAGTTCTATCCTAAAAGTCTTTTTAAAAAAAACTCTCCCCCCCTCCTTCCTCTGCCCTTCTAGAGAGAAGCACAGGAAGTGTTTAATGTCACAATATTGTGAAGTGGCTAAACTGTCTTATTAATCAGGAAACTGAAGCCTGCCAGCAAATTAAAAGCAAGAAGCTTCCCTTGCTGCATTTCCAGCAATCACACATTCTGCTAATGAACTAAAACGGAGCAATCTTAACCACACAAAAAAACAGTAGCCCCTAACAGAGGCCCACAAAGGTGTGGGTAGGAACATTATGTTGTCTGGCCACATAATTTTAATTTCTTTCTCACCCTTGTAAAAAAAAGTTTCTATAAATGATTTGTTTAACATTTTGGGGTGTGCAGACTCCTAAATACTTTATTCTAGAATAAGTTAAAGAGATGCCAAAGACTGAATAACTATAGGACTATTCCATTAATTTCCCAAACAAGCAAAGTGATGCTCAAGATTTTGCAAGAAAGACTTCAATCATACAGTACAAAGAGCAAGAAATGTCAGATAAAAAGGTAAAGATTCCCCTTGACATTTAGTCCAGTCGTGTCCAACAGGGGGTGGTGCTCGTGCCCATTTCCAAGCCGTAGAGCCAACATCTGTCTGTAGACAGTTTCTGCAGTCACGTGACCAGCATGACTAGACATGGGTGCGAGATGCGAGGCAAGAGGATAAAAGCTCTCACCAGAGTGTTGTCCTCCTTCAAAAAGGAACAAGAGGCGCAGACAGACCCGCCTACACCACCTGTCGAGACTATACAGCAGGGATTTGATACCCGGGAATTAGAGCAGGAACAGTCAAAGATGACAGCAGCCACTCAGACTGGGAGTGACTTGGCAGGAGGGAGGTCCGTCGTAGAGGCGGGAATGGGAGATATAAAAGGGGAGGTGGACGTAATACCAGGAGTTCGGGAAATGATATGGGTCAAGGACCTATCGACGGGAAAATGGGAGAAGGTGTGGGTCCCTAGGGAAGAAGCTGACTACAGGCGGAGAAGGGGGCTGCCACCGTGTCCTTCCTACTGGAGTGAGTCGGAAGCCAGAGAATGGCGCAGGCGGCTCAGGGAAGAGACGTAGAAAGGGAGGCGGTAGAAAGGGAGGAAAAGGAACATCGGTTATGGCGTCTGGAGGAAGCCCAGAGGAGGGGATATCTGATAAGGGGAAGACCCTTATGAGTCAGAGGGGTGAGTTGAAGAGACTATTCCGTTATTAAACCCTGAGGCAGGAGCTGCTGAGATAGAAAGCAGTAACCCATTTGCGAAGGGACCTTGGAATGACACAAACTGTAACCCCCTTTAATAAAGACATTTGGATGCTCTTGTGGGACCCGTTGGTGACGAGAGACAATGCAGAAGTTGAGTTTGAGCATACAGACTTGCTGTTACATGTTCCAATAATAAAACATAGATATGATTTTCCAAAGCGAGTGTCCCCAGTGGCTCTGCTGAAACCAGAGGAGGTAAAATTTGAACCCTCACAACAGGATGCCGTTACCTTCCCATCAAGGTGGTACCTATTTATCTACTTGCATTTTTATATGCTTTCGAACTGCTAGGTTGGCAGGAGCTGGGACAAGCAACGGGAGCTCACTCCATTGCGTAGATTCGATCTTATGACTGCTAGTTTTCGGACCTTGCAGCACAGAGGCTTCTGCGGTTTAACCCACAGCACCACCACGTCCCTAGCACCTCAAAATGCAAAGGTACTACAAATTATATTGCATACTGTATACTGTATATGATGGCTACTGGAATGTACCAAATAATTTCAAAAGAAAATCAGTCTACTCTTTATAGATTGTGTAGCAAAACATTTGTCTGTAAAGATGATGAAAATATATCAATTGTTCCAAAAGACTTGAATGTGCTTCAACATTTGTATGTCCTGATATACCTGTACACAAAACAAGAAGCCACTGTTATAGAGAAGCATACATTTCCCATAGGCAAAGGTTTCAGACAATCAGACAAGAGAGTACAGTGGTGCCCTTCTAGACGATGACCTCGCAAAACGACGAATCTGCATGACAAGGACTTTTTGCGATCGCTGTAGCACTTTGCAAAACAGTGTTTCCTATGGGCAATTTTCGCTGGACGATGTTTGGGTCCGTACTTCACAGACCGTTTTTCACAAGATGACAGTTTTAACAGCTTATCGGCACTTTGCAAAAAGGGTGTTTTCGGGATCGATGCTTCGAAAGACAGCGATTTTAACAGCTGATTGGTGTTTCACAAAATGGCTTCCCTATGGGCGATTTTCGCAGAACGACGACGATTTTTCCCCATTGAAACGCATTAAACGGATTTCAATGCATTCCAATGGGGAAACGCTTTTCGCAAGACGATGTTTTCACAAGACAGCGATTTCAATGGAACGAATTAACATCGTCTTGTGGGGCACCACTGTATATTATCTCCCTGTCCGATCTATCTGTATTCAGAACATATTGGCTGAAGTCCTGCTCCGTAACTTACACCTTGTAATGTTGATTGCATCATCAGTAATTTTTCAGACATAAAAAGGTACTGATTCCCTTCCATGTGGGCAAGTCATCAAGGGGCATTGGACAGATTTCTGAAAATTGCTGGCCAGATAACACTATACAGCAGGCCCGAAGTCCAATTTGAAAAAGCCAGTTTAACATTACAAAGCTGCTACTCAGGAATCAGAAGTACTGACAAGGAAGGTATTTAATGCTTTTGTTAATTCCTTGCAGAACTCAATTTCATTTGAGCTACCGCTAAACACAATACAACCTGTTTCTGAGATTCCCCTCAATTTCAATAGTGGTTTGATATGAAGAACTGGAGTTCCTGTTCAAGACAAATGCCAAAATACACTGGAGACAAGGTGAACTAGCTGCATACTTCTTTGAAATTACCTTGAATGTTTAACAGTCAATTAACGTGCTGATTACAGGATTCAAAATTCCATTACATCAGAATAAGGAAACAATAAATTGGGTTATCCTCATTCTATTTCCAGGATACACCAGGACAATACCAAATGCTGCCTTGGACCCTCCTCAAACCATCTACATGCTAAATAGCCCTGAAGAAACAGAATAAAGTAACCCCTTCCAGGGTTCAAAAGGGCTACAACAGCATGTGTAAGAACACAAAGGTTCCCTGCCTTATCTTTACACAAAAAATATTTGATTTCTAGTATGGACAAGCACTTCGCCACTTGAAAAACTCCACAGAAAGAAGTGAGCTAAACTGCATCACTCCACAATCATCACTGTTAAAAATTAAGAGTTGAATTGATTTAGAAAATGTTTTCAAGAAATGTAAATAAATTCACAGTTTAGCAGAAACTATCAATCATAGAAGAAATTGCACTGTTGCACATCTCTTTACAAGGACATTCTAGATCAGTGATGGCGAACTGTCATCGGGTTCCGTTTTTCCTTTAGGCAACTCCTCTTTTTGTGGGGAAATAAAATCAGAGACATTTTTACCTTATTCAAATCTTAAGTTTTATTTGTTCCATAATTCTCAGTAATGTTAATGACTGGGTCAAAGCAGGTCAATTCTGACAACAAGACATAACTTGGTGATGCAAAGTCCCTTCCAAAGTCCAACGAATTCATTGGGGTGCTCGGCCAAATT